TCCCCAAGGCAGTGCCTGTGGACCTCTGAAAGAGCTCTCCCTGTCTTACCTCTCATCTCTTCCCTACCTCTGCATTTAAAAGTCCTGTAAAACATTTTAATTTAGTTTGCATATGGAGTTAATCTAAGATATGGCTTCTGAAATACTTTGTTACAAACTGAATCTTGGCTCAAATAGAAGGTAACCAGTTTGTAACTTCCATACATACAAAAATCTGTTGGAGCAGCTTATTTTCTGGTCACAAATTTGTTTTGGCTTTGGTTGGTTTGTGGGGTTTTTGTGGTTTTTTTTTTTTTGGTTTTTTTTTTAGCTGCTCCTTCTTCACCTTTCACTCAGATAGTGTTGCATGTCACAGAGGGGCAGCTGTTTCCCCAATTCAGGTTTCTTTCTATGATCTGGGAAAGCACACATCTAAAGTGTAGTGATAGTGAAGGGCAAAAATACTGTAGGCAGGAGATCTGTCAGATTAATTAGATCATTCCTACGTGCTAACAAAATTTAAGAACTGGAATCTGCAAAGATTGGAGTGAAAACATGCTGTTGGCTTCAAAATAAAAAATGCTAACTACTACTTAACAATTTGTTTAGAACAAACAAACAGAAAACCCCCTGCCTCAACCTGATCAGGTATGGTAGACTTCGTTCTGCTTGCTGGTATTAAGCTATCTTAGGATACATAAGAAAGTAAATATGTAAAAGGACAGAGCTTTGCATAGCACTTAAAAATCTGTCTTTGACTTTTTTAGTTATCTATTAAATATGCCAGCTTCCCTATTACATGTTAATAGCTTTTTTATCAAGTCCAGTGCTTTGCCATAGCCTTGTAGATTTGCTTTGACTTTTATTATAATATTTTGCCAGAGGGACCTACTTCTACTTTAGCTCGTGAAGTTTCATCAGTTAGCGCTGAAACCACTTAAATTCATAGTGTTTAGCTATCCCCGCAGTGTCAGTATGGCAGTGCATTTATTACAGCTTTGGTAATACCTGCAATGGTAGGCCAAATCTAGGGGGAAAACTGCAAAAAAAAAAAGGGACAGCTGTTCTCTTATTAATATTTGAGAAATACTAATACCTCTAATATCTTTTGGCTGTCTAATCTATGATTTCTCTGCAGATGCCTTGCATTGGGTTTAATATAATATTCCAAACTGCAGAGCTGCTTAAAATGCCCTACCAGCTTTCAAAAAGTCAGTCTAGCCATGTTTGCTTCTTTCCCTGTCCATATTTTCTCCCCCTAAAAGGTAAATCTGATGGATTTGTGTCCCAAAATGTTCAAGTGTTTTGTATTGAAAATACTCTCTTTCCGGCTTTAAGAAAAAATGAGTGTCTCTTAGTAGCTCCAGGTTAGGCTTCTGCAGTTTTATTTTTTTGTAGGCATCAACTGCCTTTTTAGACAGCTCTTCATTTTAAAACTAAAGCTTTTCTGTTGTAATGAATAGTAGTACAGATTCGGTGATCTTTCTCATGTTTTGCTTCCACCAAGTGCGTGTACATCTCATCATGCAATGTTTTATACAGAGTCTGAAACGAAAAAATTTCTTTTTATATACCTCAGGCTCCAGATTTATCTTTCAGCTATTTGCAAGTCCCAGGACAGAATAAAATAGGCAGAAAGACTAGAAACAGTTTAGAAGTATTTTAAAAATGCATTATTGGGCAACTTTAATTCTGCTCTGGTATCCTTAAAACTTTATTTTCCAGCTTACAATGTAGCTGCTACTGATCTCCACATTTCTATCACTTCTAAGAGTTAAATTGTCATGACCTGCACTGCTGATGAGGAAACGTGCATTTCAGATGTAGTCCACTTTTTTTTTTGGGGTGGATGCCCATATCTGTCAGAGTTTCCCTTGTGCCCAACCCGCAAGACACTGCAGGTCTCTGGGCCTCATTGTCTGTTAGGACGAATGCCTCGCCCTCCCTCCTGGAGACCTCTGAGGACTCTGACATTAGTCCAGATAGCAAATCCCGTATTGGAGCAGATTACTGACCTCCTAAGAAGTGCTGAGCAGCGAGGTTTCTATCGGGGCTGACTCAGCACTGACAAATCCGGCTCCTGGGAGTCCGTGCCATGTGTGGCTCTCCTCCAGCAGTGCTGTCATCCAAAAGCTCTTGCATATGAAGACAAGCTACTGATCTGGATGTCTAGACGAGTCCCTTGGTAGCAACATTTAAGACCACACAGCTCCAGTGGATATTGGCTGTTTGCTTTAAATACTTCTGTTTGGAGTCACCTATACTTTTCAGTGTTTATGACACAAGCTGCAGTTCTGCATTGGAGTTCACTTCCCATGCAGTATCTTTCATCTGGTCTGATCTTTGTCCAGTGTGTGCTGGGAGTGCAAATGCTCATATCTATTTTCTAATCACAATGTACTTGACAATATCTCACCCGTAATAGTGTAGTACTCTGATTTGTATAGCCAATATAAACCGATTTGGAGAAGTATGTTCCTTTATACATCACTTGTAGGCCCAGATAAGCTGAGGATTAAGTAGATGGGAAAATCATATGTTGCCCAACGGTAGTAGCTGTGGGTTTGGGATATAGACTGTAAGGATTTACCCCTTCGAAGTGCTGCATCCACCATAAATCTAGAAGAAAGAATTGGGAGATAAAAGTGTGTTTTCTTTTTCTCTTAGTGTAGCAAACCCAAGTTTTGTTACCTTGCATGAGGAACTTCATGTTCCCAGTGGGAGAGGAGGACTTAGACAGCTCTTTAGCCTTTTTGTTTTATTCTGAGAAACATGAAGTTCTGCGTCTTAGCTATTTCTAAATCCTGATTTGGTAAAATAGCAGATGAGGACTAGCTCTGCTGAAGATCAGTATTGCTTTATGAAGTACCCAGGTCAGTTAAACTTGACTTGTTTAATACCAACTTCAGGAACTGTTCGCTATTTCTGCAGAAACAAGGTTTTTATTGTTTGCTGGGAGAAGACATGTATCTCATTTTCTAATGATGGTAATCTAAACCAAGCAGTTACCTGCAGGCGTTGTCTTTTCTTGATTGTTTGTATTTGCTTGAAAAAAAGATTTTAAGACTATTAATGGCTTATGAGAAACTGGTACACCTTTTTAAAACAGTTCAAGACGACAGACCTGTACAAACCATTTGTTTTGGGGGTTAATAGGGACTTTTAGGCTATGGAAGCTAGCTGAGCATTGAAAATACAGACTATATTTTGTAGGTATCAATATTTACTGCCTTTTAAGACCAAAAATTAGAAGTGACTTTTAAATGTTGCAATATTTTTTTTAACACATGTGATGGTAAATTTGAGTACATCTTCCTTTGTGAATTAAACTTTTTCCATTAGGCATTCCAGAATCTGACTGTTTTACTTTAAACCTTCTGTGGGGTATCTAGCAGGCTGGATGGCCATTTAGAAACTTGCTTCTGCAAGCAGTTCTCTGTAGCTTGCTTTTCATGCTGTGCTTATTTTTTCTCTTTTCATCAGTCTTCTGTACAAGTCAGTGCCATTCTATGTTTCCACCAAGCTTTTTGAAAATGCTCGGGTTGTCATTGCTGCTTCCGAAATTGGGACAGATAGTTCCTCCCCAAATACAAACAGAAGTCCTGCCAGGCCCGTTTTCTTCACAATTGCTGCTTTCTCTGAGAGTGAAACCAATGTGATATAACAGGAGACTTTTCACTCCAAGATATTTCATCCTTACAGTGTTAAAATCGGTGTTGCAGACTCGGAACATGTGGTAGCTTATGCCAGAATGTGTCCTTGCTCCATTACTTGCTGTATAAATATAAATTATGTACATCTGCAATGAACTATTAAAAAAAAGAAAAAAAAAAAGAAAAAAAAAAAAGAAAAAGGGCAATTCTTGCATGAAGCCACTAGCTGACCCCCTCATCTGTTTTTTTGTTTTGTTGCTCCCTTCACTCCCTGCAGTGGTCTGTGGCGGGGGGGGGTAGGCGGACAACCACAACATAAAACCCCC